AATCGTATACCATATTGTGTCCACCATAGGATTCCAATTTCATCATACTGCTAATTAATACAGTGCTATCTATATATATTGCATACTATTTGATTGCTTATTACGGCGTTAAACGCTGTATAATGCTGTGGTTGTCACGGCATTTGCTTCGCTCGCGGTCGCTGCGACATCTTTCCACTGCAGCAACGTATGCTCGTCCGCTTCCTCGCAGTCTTCAATTTGTGACATCCGATTCAATCGACCGTCGTTTATTGCAAGGTTTGACCTCCGCAGATGACGATACGAGACCTGTGAACCTCATTCAGGACAAAGAGAGTGCGCAACGTGTGCTGCAAACGATAAAGAAACTTGGTCCTTCACACTTTCATGCATGCGATACAGAAGTCGCACAGATTGACATTAAAGCTGTGGGACCTGTGGGCAATGGTGTCGTGACATGTTTGTCAATCTATAGTGGACCTGATGTGGATTATGGCAATGGTCCTTATATCTGGGTAGATAACCTTGACAGTGCTCAAGGGACATTGCAATATTTTAAAGACTTTTTAGAAAGCACAGATTATCTCAAGGTGTGGCACAATTACAGTTTTGACCGCCATGTGTTGTTCAATCATGGAATCAATGTGCAGGGTTTAGGAGGAGATACAATGCACATGGCTCGACTCTGGAACACTGCTAGATTTCAGAATGGAGGCTATTCTCTAGAGTCTCTTACAGCAGATCTGTTATTACAAAGAAAGAAACCAATGAAGGAATTATTTGGGATTCCAAAGCTTAAAAAAGATGGTACAAAAGGTAAAGAAAAAATCATGCCGAAAGTGGAAGAATTGCAGAGATTTCCAGAATTTAGACAGCGTTGGATTCGGTACAGTGTCTATGATGCAGAGAGCACGTGGTTTTTGCATCGTGTATTGCAGGATAAACTTGACCAAACGTTTTGGTCCGAGAAAATTCAAAATGACAAAGTGGATGATGAATCCATGTATGACTTTTATTGCAAGTATATTGTTCCGTTTGGCGAATGCCTTACGGATATTGAACGAAAAGGTATGCACGTGGATTTGAAGTATCTTGCAGGTGTTGAGAAGGAGGCGTTGGAGGACAGAGCACGATTGGAAAAGTTGGTGCTGAAATGGGCATCGAGGTATTGCGACGAAAGCGAGCGTCTGAATTTATACAGTGCCGGGCAGAAGCAGCAATTGCTCTTTGCGCCGTATTTCGATGAAAGGAAGAAAAAACTTGTTCTACCCGCTGAACGTTCGTTTGAAGTCGAAAACACGGAAGGTATTATTGAAGAAGGAATGAGAAAAGCCAAGAAAAAGCGCAGTATTACTATCCATGGATTGGGAATCCAACCAAAGCACTTTACAGCTAGTGGACTTCCTGCTGCAAGCGCTGAGGTTCTTAAAGAACTTGCCGGTCACGTACGTTATCATTGTTGGTAAAAAGTTGCAGTTTGATACCAATTGTCGGTGATCTGTTTCATTGCAGCCTGAAGCGAATCCTCCCAAGTACGGCCGTGCATACGATCATTTTAAGGATAAAGAAGAAGGTGCTGCAGCTTGTGTCGCTTTAAAGGCACTTTTCGACATTAGCAGTATCAATACAATGCTTAACAACTTCATACTGCCTCTTCAAGAGCTTGCAGATAGTAACAACCGTGTTCACTGCTCGTTGAACCTCAATACAGACACTGGGCGCTTATCGTCACGGAAGCCAAACTTGCAGAATCAACCTGCTATGAGTAAAGATCGGTACAAAATTCGAGATGCGTTTACTGCTCCACCAGGCAAAAAATTAATCGTAGCCGATTACTCGCAACTAGAATTACGGCTTATGGCTCATATCACACAGTGCAAAGCTATGATCGACGCATTTAAAGCGGGAGGTGATTTTCATTCGCGTACAGCCATGGGAATGTATCCTTACGTAGCGAAAGCTGTAGAGAATGGCGAGGTTCTATTAGAATGGGATTATTCCTCCGGCCAGGAACCCCCAGTTCCGCTCCTGAAGGATAAGTACGGTGATGAGCGCAAAAATGCGAAAGTGCTCAATTTTTCGATTGCTTACGGTAAAACTGCTTTTGGTCTGGCAAAAGACTTTAATGTTTCGCGTAAGGAAGCAGCAAAAACACTCGAAAAGTGGTACGCAGACCGAGCAGAGGTGCGGCAGTGGCAGACTAGGGCTATGAAAATTGCAAAGACATACGGCTATACGAGGACACTGTTGGGGAGATATCGTCGACTTCCTGATGCAATGCTTTTGGACGATAGTATGGCATCAAAAAAAGCTAGGGGTCATGCAGAACGTGCTGCAATAAACACCCCTATTCAAGGGGCTGCTGCTGACGTTGTGATGCAAGCAATGCTTTTGCTTCACCAAAGTTCACGACTTCGGGATTTAGGATGGGAAATGGTGTCTCAGATACACGATGAAATTATTGTCGAGGGACCCGAGGACTCAGTTGATGAAGCTGTGGAAATTGTCGTACATTTAATGGAGAATCCTTTTGAAAACCCTCTTTCTGTGGCATTAGAGGTGGATGCGAAGGTTAACGACTCCTGGTTTAAGGCGAAATAGAGTCCTTGTAGGCAATTAGTACAACGAGAGTGTTAGCTCCAGCGTTTAATGTACAAGACGAATTATCATCCTATCTAGTGTGCCTGTAGGATAACCTACGTTTTTGCTTCATCAAAAAGCACATGACGTGACAAGAAATGAATGAAGGGTATTTCTTCCAGAAAATGAGTCTTCTCCATTCATGCATCGTAGTAACCGAATCATTGTTGGCTTTGTTTGGTAGTAAATTCACAAAACGACCTCAATTCACAATGTCGAGAAATTTACTATTGACGATGCGAAAGCTGCACAAGCTGAATTGTAATCAGACGCATTGGCAATTGGTTCGTTATAATGATGTTATAGAGTACTGGAAAATCGGTAATGATTCATCAGATTATGATCCACGATGCTGCCAAGTTTGCAAATGCCTCGGAGTTTTTGTCAAACAACCACAATATGCTGTTTTGTTAAGCAACAATATACAAATACTTCACCAGCTCTCACTTTTCCGAAACTATTTTGTCAATCTTATGCTGTTTCATTGAAAATAACATGTAGCTTTGCGTTGAAAGTATTCCAGGACGGCAAGAACTGCCTTCACAGGGAACGCATTCTCGAGTAATCTCATCATATTCTGAATATTCGTCAAATGTGCATACAAATGTCTTTTCGAGGTCTCACAATCGTGAAAGTGATTAGTAAGTTCTGTGTAACACTAGCAACGCATTGCCCACAATGGACAGAAAGAACTGGCAAATTTAAGTTTTCGTGAGCTGCAAGATAGGGTGGACATCACGCAAAAATATCAATCAGACAGACCATACTACACAAAAGAAATTAGAGCCTCCTTGACCGATAAGTACGAGTAGAGTATCCTACAATTAAGTATCACTCTTATCAAGTACCCGTAATAGCTCTACTATCCAGTACTGCTTTTTTCAAGTTGGCTAGAATGCTGCTTACGAAATTAACTTGGACTCAATACGACTGACGATAACATCAACTGGACCTTTAATCTGTAGCGTGATAGTCGAGCAGTAAGTGAAATCAAACGGATCCTTCACCGTCCTGAATTCAAACTTACTCACAAGCTTCGCAAGTGTAAGTTTGATCTCTGCTAACGCAAATTTCATGCCCAAACAAATGCGTGGACCGCCAAGAAATACACTGAATTTAAATGGTGACACGATCTTAATTTTACCTGAAATAGGCTCAATCCAACGCTCGGGTTTGAATTCTTCAACATCAGGACCCCAAACAGTAGACATGCGTCCCATGGCGTAATGAGGCATGATCACACGTGTCCCTGCCTTGACAAATGTACCTTCACAAAGCCACACATCCCGCGTTGTCGAACGTCCAGATACAGGGGCAACTGGAAACAGTCGCAGTGTTTCTCGAACGACAGCCTCCAAGTAGACAAGCTGACAGAGATTTTCTAAATTCAGAACGTGTAGGTTGTCACTCGTGAGGTCGGGAAACTTATCTACTAGCTCTTGACGGACTCGCTTGAGGACGTTGGGATACCGATTAAACATCAAGATTACCCACGACATTGCTGTGGCAGTGGTCTCACGTCCAGCTACAAGGAAGCTAAGGACAAAATCGCGCATTAATTTGACATCATTTTGCGTGTGTACGCCTTTAGTATACTCGATCTCGGATTTCTCAATAAATAGCGAAATAAGGTCCTTACGAGAGCTGGTCTTCGCTTCTTGTTGTTTTTTTGTTTCAATCGAGCGAGAAATCACTCCGAAAACGAGATTATCCACCAATTTGACATCTTTTGCTAGATGCTTCTCTGCACCAACATTAAGCCAGCGTTGTAGCTTCCAGACCCAAGCAGGCTGCTGAATACGTTCTAAAACTCGTCTGGATATTCGGTCAAGCGATTCCATTAGCTCCGCATTCTGACCCGACTCGACACTTTGGACATCCACGTCAAATCCAACTTGAGCAAATACATCCATTGTGTACATATTCATCATTCGCTTCATATCCACAACTTTGCTACTTTTCTCTTCTCCAGCACAAATTTCATTTAGTCGTTTCATCAGCATTTCAAGTTTCTTAGGAACCACCTCCTCCATCGCATATTGCACCATCTGAGTTGTAAACAAGTGGCTAGCAGTCTTACGTTGGTGCTGCCATAATGGTCCGCTAATTGCAAATATCCCTTGTCCTAAAACATCGTACATTGCTTCCGAAACCCTTGGACTCTTATCAAAAGCATCAAATTGTGTTTTCTGCACGTCCTCAAAAATTTGTGGACTGCAGACGACGATCGTTGAATGTCTCCCAAAAATTCGGAAACGCCATGGCTTCCCTTGGAACTTACGGCAATACTTTAAAACCCAGTCAAGAGACTTTCTAGACTTTTGGGCCTTTAGTATCTCCAGTGTGTGGCCTAATATTGGATAGTCTTTCTCTGGTGCTGGAAGATGCTTCACGGCACGATCATGTGCTGATGGAATCGCCAAATACACGAGAAGCACAGCCAAAGACGACATGGCAACCGAAACAGGCGACATCCACACGGCTAATGTTTCAAGCTTCATGTTGTTTGTCCTTTAACCAACTGTCGAAAAGTTTTGATGATGGATCCCATAATGATTAAGCACCCTTTCAGAGTGTTATCATCTTGACTCCATTTACGATATCAAAACACAAGTTTTATAAGTTTTCGCAGAAAATATGAAGACGTTTCTCAGAAATGGCTGTTCGATTGCATACTTGAGCTTTGTGCGTGATACAGCATCGCTGTTTTGTTGAAAACTTCTAAACACAGATCCATTCAAGTGTTTTACCGCTGCGTAAGTGGGCCTGATATTTTAAATGGAATTTTGCTCCGGTCATTGCTCTTAGGTAAAAAGCGGTCATAGCTCATTTCCAACTACTTTTTACTTTTACGATATTCAAATTCGGATAGGCATTGAAATCGTCGAGGCTCAACAATCATAGGTCGACCCACAAGGTATTTCTCATCCGTAAGTAGTTTGTAAAGGTAATCTACGCAGTACACATATGGGACAGCGCGGAAGCCCACCATTTCATCACGTTAACACGCCAACTCTGGGTGTGGCGAAACCCAACGACCTTGTCACTTGTTGATATTCGTTAAAGGATTCAAACCGTGAGGCTCAATTTGGTACTGGACATCATCGGAAACAGACTTTGCTCTGATCAACGTTCTAGCCTACTTGTAATAAAGACTGCATCGCAATTCAAACTTGACGAATAGGTTGATAAACCAAGAGAAATAGACGTGGAATGCAACGGGGTTATCGTGCACTTTGTATAGATGATCCTTCGGCCTGAAAGTCCGCATCCTGCAAGTGCAAGAGCTGTAACGACTCTCGTTAATCTAGTCATGTCTTGCTAATCATTCTTATACCTGGGACGGACCCCTTTCACGCCTGTGTGTGCGGACGTTCCCGGTCACAACGAGAAGAATGAGCGCCACATAGTCCCCGGCAAGCACAAGCCACAACT